CCAGCGAGGTATTTACACCATATAAGTAAATTTACTACTGTTATTACTCAKAATGTCATGCGKTATTGTCCGCTTCCTGCTTTTGGAGCGTTCTCTGGTCCGCTTGGCGTTCACACATGCAGTCGAACCGCACCAGAGTTCATTTCAATCGAACCGAGACCTGGGTTTTCAGACGGACAAGAGTTACTGTAGCTTTTTTTGGTCCGAATCAGAGTTCGATTAAGCATTCAAACCTCCACAAAYGAACCGGACTTTCCAGGCAAACGAACCAGAGTTCGATTAAATCGGACTAAACAGTGCAGGTGTGAATACGCCCTCAGTCTCTCTTTCAAGACTATAAGATAGAATACTATTGTAAAGGTGTCTCTGCCCAACAGCTTTCCAAAATAAAACACAGACAGTCTCCCTGTTAAGGAGAGTTTTGTCTGAAACAAAGAAAGAAAACATTTTAGACATTTGTTATAACACTTCACTGATTAGAAAGACATCTGCATTAACTGTTCAGTTCATATTGACCTCAGTCATTTATAACAACTCTGACATAAAGAAAATTTCGTTTAGCAATGTTTTTCCTAAAGTTCAAGAATATTAAGTCTGTATATTCATGATTAAGTGTGATCAATAAATTTTATTGGAATAGAAGACAGTATGTCAAGAGTAATTGTTAAAATAAGTTTTAAAGAAAATAATTCCGTTCAGTTCTGGAACATAACCTCAGAGTAGAGGTCACTTCACGCCACATATGTTGTAAATTTGTCCTCTGCCTTGAGTCGCTCTCTCCTGACGTCATAGACCATATATGGAATGGAACAACTTTTTCAGAGCAACAGCTAGAAAACTCATTAAAAATCATTTTAAAACTATTTAGCGTTATTTTAAAGAATTTCAGTGAAACATGTCATATTTTGTTGGATATATAACTTGAAAACATGGTGGGTCATGGACTTTAACGATACCCATCCAACACTAGTGGAAAGGTTTAAATAATACAATTCAAATGAAATGCTATAACATTTTTGAGATTAGACTTATTTGAATAAAGACATGAATGACTTTTGGTGTTTGAGGGCATATCTTTTCTAAAACATTAAATATAATCATAAATATGTTGTGACTCATTAAGATGAACTGACTCTACTTCAGAGATCTATACAGACTGTGGCCATGTCTCTAGACTCTACCTCCTTTTTATAAAGCTTGGCATTGGTATCATGATTCTATCTATTCCGAATGGTTTCAAGATGTTCCCAAAAGAAAAAAAGAGGTGTAAAAAATGGTGTCTTATGGCTGAAGGTATAAGAAAGATTCTTTGAAAAAATAATGATTTATTGTTTCAATACACAGAGTAACACCTCAGAAAAGAGCATCTAAGTCTTGTGTCTGTGATAATTTACTGTAAAGTTGAGAAATCTCAAACATAAAAAGAGATTAAACACAAGAGGGCAATAGTTTACTAAGGTTTTCTGATTGAAATGTCTGATAGAAACTCACACACTATGAAAAACAGATTCTCAGAAATGATTTCAGGCTTTTTTACGCATGGTCTTGGCTCTCTGTGGTCAGAGTAAAATTCCCCCAGAGAGCAATTTTAGACTCAATATGTCTAAGATGTGTTCAGAGAGTCAGATCCGGGGCTGCGACTGGCTGATCAGGAGATGCCTTTCAATCAGCAGGCTGTCATTCAAATTGGGCTGGAAGCAGCATCTCTGTCAGAGGACCTTGTTAAAATACTCAGGCCTGAAATTCAGTTTCGTTAAGTTTTATGACAAGGTGGCCACACTGTACCATTAATCAGTCAAGAGCCATTTGCCTGATTTGACTTTGATCGAAGAAGCAACAGTGAAGGTCAGAGAGTGGCTCGGGTCATTCTTTTCCACTTAAGGCTCTGATGGATGGTTCATGGCTTAAAAACAGACCTGCTTTAAATTATGTCATACCACCTCTCTATGTGCTCTTACCCACCACTCCTCTTACATCTCATTTAAAAGCCCCCTGAGGTAAATTGCTGGTAAAGACAAGTTGGGGCGAATGGGTGAGTCTTGTTTCTTGAACAAAGACTTGGGGTACATATCAGACAAATAATGTGAATAATTATTGGAAATAATGCCCAGACAGGTGGAGTTCAGCCAAGTCATGAAATCATGTGCTCCTCTTTGGTGCATCACTCCACTCATTATTTGAAGTCATGCTTGAAAAACAGGTGTTTCTAATAACGGGCTGCTGTCTCAATGGTCTTGCACCCCCATGGGTTTCTGATGATGGTTCAGAAATGATATTTCATGGTTGGAGCTGTGCAAAAGATAGGAAGTGACTGAAGAGAGCTGCTCAGAAGACATGCGTGTAATGGATGCTGATTGGGTTTGGCTGTATCCCTGGAGTTCCTGCAGGAGCAACAAAATGGGAACCACAAAGCAGGACAGTCTCCCACCCCTCACCCCCTTTGGAGGCTKAAATTATTATGGGGGGTGGGGGGTTGGGTTTCTGTGTTGTTAAACAGGGGCCACATTTTTTGCACTTGAAGCAGTTTAGCTGATTGCACAAGACCTTTATTCTTCATTCACATAATAAATAGAACCAGAAGGGAGAGGAGTTTGTCTTTTCAGGGTCTTTGTCTTCCAGTTTAGTTTATGATGGATGCATTGTGCCMGTGTTTAAAGCCTATGATGTGTTGCAGAGCAGATTTGTGTTTTTAAAGCAGAGAACACACTCTTGAGTTGTGTCATTTGTTTTCTGACTTTTTCGAAAAAACAAAAACCACCTTAAGTGAGCGTGTCAACTTTTATGTGAATCAGAGGTTTTTTTGAATCATGCCGTTTCCATTCATCTTTTCTGATGCGATACTTCAAAATGTGCATTAAAAAACCTTGTTGGAAACGGCCACTGAGGCACCGAAGTACCAGATGAAACAACAAAAACACAAAAAAAAGTATAAAAGACAACCCAAAAGGCATAGATTGCGACAGTACCCTACCCCTTAAGGGTGGTCTATGACATCCAAAACAAAACTGCATCTGACTCGGGTGGGAGGAGGGGGCAAAAAAACAGGGTGGTAGGTACACAGAAAAACAACCAAAAACCAGCAGGGGCTAACTGAGAAATAAACAAAATCTCTAAGGATGGATGAGGTACATCCAGTACAAGGCGAGAGTTCAGGCAGGTGGACTGGGGCTCACAAAGCTAGAACTGTGAAAGACTCTGAAAGGACTGAAGGTGGGTGGGTCAAAGGACTCAAAGGTGAAGATGGGCCAGAAGACAGAGATGGACTGAAGTCACTGGCAGCAGCCCAGGAACCTGTGGGAACAGTCATGGAACCAGGAGACAGTAAAGCAGGAACCAAGGGCTTTAGTGAAACTGAAGACTCTGCTGRAGCTGATTCTGACCAGGACATGGAAATTCTGGAGCTGAAGAGACTGGAGACTCTGGAGCCGAAGAGGCTAGAAACTCTGGAGCCAAAGAGACTAGAGACTCTGGGGCCAAAGAGACTAGAGACTCTGGAACCAAAGAGAGTGGGAAGGGTGTAAGTGGGCCAGGAGCAGAGGATGTAGATGGTCCTGGTAACTCAGGAAGGGATGTTCTAGTGAGGCTGTGGTAGAAGTGGAAACACAAGGTCTCAGGAGCAGATGTGGAACCCAGGGAGCATGGGAGASGTGGATGTAGATGATGAACCAGAGGAGGAGAATGATGGATGGACCAGATTAGGAGAACATATAAAGGGTTTCAATGAGCAAAGAACCCTCAGGAGTGGGAACTGCAGTGGCCGAGACCACCTTGAAGAAGGCTGCAGCGTGCTTGGAGACCACTGTGGAAGTTGCAACAGATGCAGTGACCATAGTGGGAGTTGCTGTAGATGTGGAGACCATAGTGAGAGCTGCTGTCATGTGCAGGGGGTGAAAGAACCCCTCTGTGGTGAATAGGAGAGTGAGGTACCGTCAAAGACCCTCTGAGGAGGGCTTGAGAGCGAGGCATTGTCGGAGACGATTGTGGAGCGCTGGAAAGCGAGGAGTCGTTTTATTTGAGCCTGTTCCAGGATGTTCTGCTGTAGGGCCAGGAGTWTCAGGTATGTGGGGCTCTGGATGAGCTGCTGGCTCTGAAAATGGCTGGGTTTAAAAGGTCCTCAATCATACTGCTCTTCTCAGTAGGTATGGCCAGTAGGACTGGTGTGGACAATAACTTTTTTTTTCCAGAAGACGGTACACAAAAAGGGCTTTAAGTCTGTCGACTTAGTTATCGTACCCACCAGTCTGGCAAACTTGTCCTGGTAATCTGCCATTTCTGCCTTTAGCCTCTGGAGATGAGTAGGATTCTGACACWGCCAGTCTGAAAGTTCAGAAGACAATATATCTGCTGTGTCCTGGAGTGGCTGGATCATTCTTTAAGGGTGCACAGGGGATTGGACTCAGGTGGCAGACATCACAGGAGAACTTCAGGTGAAGGGAAAAATAAAACAATTTATTAAACAAAACAAAAAGCTGTTGATAGAGCAAAACTTAATGTGGTGACACGGAGTTCAACTCTGGGGAAGTGACACAATGACCAGGTAAGGAGGTGGAGAAAAGAGAGGTTATATAGAGCTATGAGAAACTATCAGCAGCTGAGCTGATTCCAAGTAACAACAGAGTGGGAAAGTACTGATATGAGGAGCTGACTGAGGAAGGGATGAGGAATGGCACACGGAACACTGAGGCACTGAAGCACCAGATGAAAAAAACAAAAACACAAAGAACCATATAAAAGACAACCCAAACGACAGATTGCAACACCATAAGCTATTTTTTCATTTATAAACTTACTTTATCTGTTCATCTTAAATAAAAATTATTTTACAAATCCAAATATTCTTTTTACAGAAGGGTTTATTTTGATTTGATGAGGTCTTCACAAGATGTTATTCAGACAATATGAACTGAAAAATATTGTTACATTATTTTTGACTGCAAATTAATTAAGACGCTGTATTTTAATAAAAACATTTTGCAAACAAAAAAATCAAAAGGCATGTATATGAAGTAAGATGTTTATTTAGGGTTTTACGTGCTTAGCACATGTATGTACATTTATTTTAAAATGCCTCACAGAAGAAATACTTTGATATTTCCCTTTTTCACACATTTTATCAACAGACTGAATGGGAAAATTGCTATACTGCCCAACATTTAAATACACATTTCAAAAACACACCACAACAGTTTACTCTTTTATGCTAACTCTTGTTTTTTAACTTTTCACACAACATTTTAAGCTTATCCTATTGATTGCATTCACCATTTCGTATATATCAAGGCTTGAAAACACAATTCACTCAATCATAGTGACAGTCTATGAGGAAAAACACATGAATGAAGTTGTATGATAAAGTCCTGATTTCATATGTAGAAGTTTTTTAAAATAACAGAACATTTTCTTCATTTTTATCACGTTTGGTTCTGYTACATTGTCCAGATTGCTCTTCTCCTGCATGAATGTAGTGTAATGACTTGTTTGGAGAGCTTGTCCAGTTGTCGATTTCATTCCGTTCAAAACCTCAACCATGACAGCGGTCCGTTCACTCTTTGACATTCCTGAACCAAAACGGCACAAGTGCTGTATTAAGTTAAAACTCCTGGATCAAAGTGAAAATTTCTTTTGGCTGCAGGATGGAGAGAAATGACCTTTGAGTCCCAAAACATGAAAAGTGAGTCACTTAAAGAAGCTGTTTCTGTTATTGCACCTTAACTATTCCACACGCCTCTGAACGAGAGCCTTTGCCCTTTCTTTTTCTACCGATCTGAGTTTGTTGTTGGTTTGCTGTCAGACAGAAGCTGGTCTATGATTTTCATACAACACTGCTACTTACTTTCTTATGCTTTGTGAATGGTGGAGCATTTCTGAATGCACTGCATAATATTATTGGTACGAGTTTTGATTTTCACCTGAATATGTTCAGCAACATGGATCTCTGTGGTGTTCAGTTCCKGTTTTTACACCATGTGCATGGACATCTGAGAGGAGGAGCCATACTGACGTCCATCACAGGAGCTGCTGCCGGTGTTGCCAATCATGTGCATAGAGTCCATGCTTCCATTGGACAAATACTGGCGCTCAGCAAAGGCTCCAGCAGGAGCAGAGGAGCACAGCAACCCGCCCTGGGGCTTCTCGGGGCTGGCGGCCAGGCGAGGGGAGGTGGGGAAGTTGTATCCATACAAGTTGTAGGGGTTGTGGAGGGAGAAAGCATTGTAGGAGCCTTGCTGCACATGGTGGTGGCTTCCAGTGAACATGTGAGCAGAAGAAGGAGAGGATCCTGATGAAGAGGACGGTGCAGAGCTGGCGCTACCACCAGCTTGCATCACATACTGTAGCTGAGAGGCTGGGAAAGAGCCAAGCTGACCACCGTAGGCATCCATCTTTCCAGCCACACTGCTGCCACCTCCGTTCCCGGTCAACGAGGCATGAGTACTGCCCTGCATGCCAGCTGCAATCAAGGAGGAAGTCCTCTGTGGTAAGAAGGATTCAGAGGGCTGAGCAGAGGCTACAGCGCCCCCTGCAGCTTGGAGGCGTCCATAGGAACTGTCAGCCAGGCCACCGTAGCCCTGCAGTGCCGCCATATTGCTACGAGCGCAGGCCGGGTACTCCGACAAACCCAAGTTGCAAAGCTGGCTTTCTCTGCAGCCCACATTGAATGTGTTTGGGGTCAAGTGAAAAGTAGGTGGGGAGCAGGAGGGGGACAGGAGGTGTGCCGCACCAGATGGAGAAGGAGTTCCTGCGCTGGAGGTGGTGGGAGATGTTCCAGTGCTGCCACCTGGAAAAACAACAAGATGGAGTCATGTAAAAAATCTTTTTTTCTTACCTTATTCTTAAGAGACTTATAAATATATATTTATAACAACGAGTGTGTTTGGTTATAAACCAGTGACAAAAAATTTTCTGTACTTGATTTTGACAGCCAGTGGGGGAAATAATATTCTGAAGCTCAGCTGAATTTGTTTTCATTTACAAARCCATTAACAACCTTTAATTTTCAAATCTCATAGATACGTACATAAATAACAATAGTGATGGCTGGATATTGTTGTGTTTTATTTTGTTTTTTCAGTCAAGGATTGTGTTGAGTGAAGAGTCTGARGAGGATTTTTTATTTGTTTTTAACGGTACTGACGATGCGTTTAATATAGGATCAAACCAGCTGCTCATCTGCCCCAAGGTCCACAGAGTTCTGACTGGGGGCAATGTGCACGACGGCWGTCACCGGGCAAGCAGTGGGAGAGCAGACAGAAGTTACGCAATATTTTGTCACTTAACAGGGTGACCAATACTCTAAGCATAAACCAGCCTTTACAGAAGCTCTCCTTTTACGGAGGAAGATAGAGGTTAGTGCACTTAAAAATGGATAAAATCAGCAGGAAGTTAGCATAATGAATATTGGTACWACGTCCTTGTTTATTTGACTTGATACCAAAGTTTATCACACAAAAATAGGTGGGGGCACTAGTTTCTGCTGTTGTTATTTTGTCGGTCAAAAACAGAGGAGTTGGCGAGTCATTATTCTATAGGACTGAGGTTTTTAGCCTGGCCAGAACACTGACTCTGAAGGCATAATCTGATTGTAAGAAAGTGTTCRAAAAYTGGATGTCCAAATATTATGCAGAAAACCAAGTAAGTGTCCAGTTTACGAAGCTACATTCTTCAGATCTAAAAACTCCAGTCATGCCCAGAGTCACTCTCTGTGTGTGACCGAGCCTAATCAGCACCAAACAAAACAAGATAGAACTCGACACCAAATGTCGCTGTCCCCCTTCACTTTTCAGTAGTGACMAACTGTTAGTTCTTTTGTTGGAATCATTACAGGCCTTCATTATTTAAATAATCTCATAATGTGAACAGACGTACGGATGGACAGACAGATGTATGAGGGGCTAAAGTGATCTGGTGAAACTACTACACAAACATGCTGAGCAGGTCTCCCTTTTGATGCAAATAAAATGTGGTTCAGATCAATCATGAGATTGGATTAGTACGAGCAGCTTTGGTGGAGTGGTTAGGGGAGTCGTCCTGAAACCAGAAAATTGCYGGTTTGATCCCCCATCCAGCCGTTTCAGTTGTTGTGTCCTTGGGCAAGACACTTCATCCGCCTTGTCTACTGATGGTGGTCAGAGGGTCCGGTGGCACCGGTGCATGGCAGCCCTGCCTCTGTCAGCRTGTCCCAGGGCAGCTGTGGCTACAATGTAGCTTACCATCATCAGTGTGTGAATGGGTGAATGTCTGTAAGTGTAAAGTGCTTTGGGGTCCAGGGCTACTTGATAAAGTGCTATATAAGTTCAGTTTACTTACCATATGCGTGTGATTTAGAGCCAACTGTAGGCAAAGTGGGCAGGGCTAAAGCAATCTTGTGAAACTACTACACAAACATGCTGAGCAGGTTTCCCCGATGATGCACATAAAATTTGGTGCAGATTGATTCACGCATGTGTAATTAAGAGCCAACCGTGTGTTAAGTGGGCGGGGCTAGAGTGATCTCATCAAACTAACACATTAATGTGTTTGGCAGGTCTTCTTGTTGATGCACTCTAACTTTGGTGCAGATCTGATCATGTACAGTATGTGTGATTTAGAGCTAACCGTGTGCAAACAACAAGGCATCAGCATTCACCACTCTGCCACACACACACACACACAAACACCATCCCGCCACCAGTCAGTGTTGAGAGAAGAATACAAGCATGTGGCTAAAGAGGAAACTCATTTCGGCCACTTGTATCCGCAATCTTGTTTTGCATGTTCAAAGCAGTAGGAGAACTTAGCTCAGATACATGTGCAAGAAAAGAGACAAATTGGCAGCTTTGATCCAAAATGGCCGACCTCCAGTGGGGGTTGGATCATGACTCCCAAAGACTTTTTTTTGGTCCTGAGACATTACACGTGTACCAAATTTCAGAATTCCAGGTCAAAGCATGGCTTGGGGCTACCTTTTTATCAATTGTAGGGGGTGCTGTGGGGTAATTAGGCCACGTTCCTCCAAAATTGGACTGCATTCCTGTAGTGGGGTGGATTAGGATCGACCACAGTGAATTTGGTGCAGATTGGCTGAAATTTGTGGAATTTAGAGCCAAACGTAAGCCAACAGCGTGATGTCTGACTTTGCCACTCCGCCATGATTATGCCTTTCACTAAAAAATGTTTGTGCTCAAAAGCAAGTGAGATGAAGTTCTCATCTGTGTTCTGACACAATTTGTTGCTGATTAGACCAAGAGGATCAGAGATGGAGCTTTCCAAGCCAAGAAAAGTCACTTTCTGTTGTCAGTGGGCAGGGCTTTGATGAATCGTGTCTGTCAATTTTCTTCCACTTATCCGGGGTCGGGTCACGGGGGCAGCAGCCTAAGCAGAGAGACCCAGACTTCCCTCTCTCCAGCCACTTGGGCCAACTCCTCTGGGGGAATCCCAAGGTGTTCCCAGGCCAGCCGAGAAACAGTACCTCCAGTGTGTCCTGGGTCTTTCTCTGGGCCTCCTCCCAGTGGGACGTGCCCAGAACACCTCACCAGGGAGGCGTCCAGGAGGCATCCTGACCAGATGAACCACCTCAACTGGCTCCTCTCGATGTGGAGGAGCAGCGGCTCTACTCYGAGTCCCTCCTGGATGATCAAGCTTCTCACCCTATCTCTAAGGGAGAGCCCTGACACCCTGTGAAAGAAACTCATTTCAGCCACTTGTATCTGCGATCTTGTTCTTTCGGTCACTTCCCAAAGCTTGTGACCATAGATGAGCGTAAGAATGTAGATCGACTGGTACATTGAGAGCTTTGCCTTTTGGCTCAGCTCTCACTTCACCACGACAGATCGGTACAGCGTCCACATCACACCAATCTGCCCATCGATCTACCCTGTTCCATTCCTCCCTCATTCGTGAACAAGCCCACGAGATACTTAAACTCCTTCACTTGTGGCAGGACCTCCTCCCTGATGCGGAGAAGGCACCCTACCCTTTTCCGTCTCAAGACCATAGTCTCGGATTTGGAGGCACTGATCCTCATCCTGGCCGCTTCACACTCAGCTGTGAACCGCTCCAGTGAGAGCTGGAGATCACGATCTGATGAAGCCAAAAAGACCACATCATCCACAAAAAGCAGCACAGTGTAATATTAAAAAATAAAAAATAAATGCCTGAAAACAGATGTACTTAGTCTTCAGTAATTAGGGTTAGGGTTAAATTCAGTATTCAAGTGTTTCAAATATTTTTCTTTAAATGTTTCTTATTCATAAAAATTTACATTAACAAAAACAAAGATGTCACACTGTATTTCAAATTGTTCTAAGTTTAACAAAAATTTGAATACCTAATTTTTCCACCACTTAACTAATCTCTGTGTTTTTTTTTTTTTTTACTTTATCTATCATACTGTATCTTCCTTTGCTGCATCGTCCTCATCTCAGCCCTATTCTCAGAAACAGATGGAAAAATAGTGTTAAAAATGAAACATGGAACATTTCCAGCCTGTCCACATGCACAAAATCAGCCTAATGAAGATCATTAAAAATATACTGAATCCACCTGTTGCCAGTTAAATATATAACCTTGTAATCTGCTTTTTCTGAATCCTCTCCTTAGACTAACTCCAGATTTTACTCTTTGAAACCGTGCTGGACATGAGCTCATGTTCAGTGCTGTAAATTATATGGCCTCAATGCAGAGAGAAATTCAGTTTGAATTAGTYTCATCTGTCCAGTCTGAGAAAAAAAAAACAGATATGCAAAAGTCTTTTTGAGAGAAACAATAGTTGTGGGATATCAATCACATAGTTTTTTGTTAATGAGACTTTGGCAATGGATCCTGCTGCCAGTGAAGAAATTCATTTTGAACCTAGACTGAGGAGGAGGCAGAACTGAATAATCCAGGACTTGTTTGGCTGGAAGTTTGCTTTTGCACCGTATGTATTTGTTAAGATATCTACTGCATTCTGCTCTGCTCAAGGAGACTGGAATGAGAAAAAAAAGAGAAGTAGTTTAGTGATGTCATGTTTTCCTCTGTTTGGAGGTGCTTCAGCAGAGGGAGAGTAGTTGATTACTCGAAGGGAAAAGGATGTCTGGTGCCAAAGAGGGCAATGCTGGATATGAGAATTCAGTTATTACACTTTACACAAAACCACACAGTTCTTACAGGGTGACACAGAGTTCATTGTAACCACTTTAATTAAATCCTAATTACCACAGAGGACAAACACATGTCAGCCTGATGAGGCAAAATAAAAAGCATCACGTCATGACGACCTCGAAAATGAGCCAAGAAGAGGTCAGCTAGGAGGAAACACATAAACTTTTCAGAGGCGAGGCGCTTAATGTAAGCTGTGACCAAACCCTTGTTGCTGAGACAGGAGTGGAAACAAAAAGGAGCTGATGCGACTGATACCGCTCAAACATCAGCACTTCAATGGTTTCATAGTAAAGGTCTGTGCGTGATGTGAAAAGTTCAGCAGACGCAGGCGGATCTGCCATGTGGCTAAGCTTGAGCCAAGGACGAGCACATGCTGCAGTGTGTGCTGATGTACACTGAGAAAATATGCAGAGATGGTTTGAGCTGGGGCAGCACCAGGTTCATGCTGCGTACTGCTGAACAAACAGCATCTGAGTGGGGTCTTCAGGCATTAACGAGTGAGCTTCCTGCTATGGCACAAGACTACCGAGTGACATTCTGAAGGTTTAATATTGTTGTGGCAGCATGTTTGCATACATGTCAAGTTGTACGGATTTGCAGTTGAGACTCACCAAATTATATTTGTCCTCAGTAGGGACATGATATTCAGCCCCTAAATATTACACTTGCAATCTGTATCCCACTGTGCTGTAAAGAGGACATCTTGGGCTTTCTACTGATGTCACMTTTGTTGAGATGTGGCCAACAGAGCACACGCACTTCCATTTTCAATATGGTGGAAATCCCCATATCAACATTATATGGCAGCAGGGGAGGAAAGTGACAAATTGTCTTTCAAAGATCATTTCTATTGCTAAAGATGAGGAGGAGGAAGGTGAGATAGTAGAGCGGGTATGTGGAAGTTCAGAGGAAGACGTAACAGTTTTGAGGAGCCTGAAGAGGAACAATGTGAAGACACAAGCCAGCCAATATGGATGAAAAGCTATCATATTTATTCGTGTATAATACGATCTCATATATAATACGACCCCACCTTTTTTGAGCTTAAAAAGCATAAAAATATTAATCCTCAAACTACCTCCAATTTCATACAGACTTCAAGATTTTTCAGCCTTTGCAGTCTTTATACATATCAGTAAAATGATCATTGGACTGTTCATTTTATTTTAACAACATATGTACTAAAAGGTATTTTGACAACAAATATATATCAGCTGTAGCAGCATTATATGAATTCTGGCATTTTACACATAGTCCACCAGGAGGCGCCAACACAAAAGTCAGAGACTTCACATGAGATTTGGACCATCTTGTGGGGGAAAAGCAGATTACTTCCTACTCGCGAGCGCCCCCTCTGGTGGGGAAACATTTTTCAGGGATACAAACTTTTTCAGAACACCGGTAGACGGCAGCCATTACAGACGAACATGTGTTTGTTGTTGTACCAGGAGCGGCTCGGTCACACACTTATGTCTTTAGTTCGTTATCGTTACTAAGGTGCAGGACTGCCTTTCTCCCCCTTTTTTCACATCATGTCACCTGCCTGGATCCGTTATTATCTCGCTCTGAAGCACAGAGGAGTGTCAGAGGTAAGCTCACTTCAACTGCTTTTTATGACGCGGTCTCATTTCCGGACTAAGCCGTTTTGAGAATGAAGCCGATATTTCAGTTAAAATACATAAGTAAAGATATTTATCTGAGTATAGTACTACCCCCCAACTTTATGGATGATTTTATGGATTAAATTTTATGTATTATACTTGAATAAATACCGTAAGTTAGGTTCATGGAATTTATTGGTAATAGTGAGTGAAAAGGAAAACTTTGTTTTTTTATTTAGAATACACAATAATGTAAAACTTTGCAATGGCAATTATATAGGTAATTACACATATTGCATTATGTTAAACTATACCTCTATTTTTTTCATCAAAACAGTTTCATTAAGTAAAAAAATATATATCAAGCCAGACCCAATGTCCAGTGTAATAGACATTTAATAAAATCTAAATAAATAACATTTATGAAAGGAATTTTTTACTTTCAACCCTAATACCTAAACTATGAAAAAAAAATCTAAATACCAAAACCTTTTTCCTTCTGTGTCTCAGGAGTGGACATATAGGCAATCTCACAGTTTTTTTTTTTTATTTGACATCTTGCCATCCATCATCTATACCCGCTTCTTCCTTTCAGGGTCACTGGTGCCCATATCCAGCAGTCACCGTGTGAGGGGAGAGGTACACCCTGGGGAGGTCACAAGTCCATCACAGGGCCACACATAGAGACACACGAGACAAACAACCATTTACTCTCTCACTCACACCTAGGGACAATTTGGAGTTATAATTTAACCTAACAGTCATGTTTTTGGTTTAGCTGGAGTGCCTTGGAGTACGTAAAGCAACAAAAATCCACCAGAAGTCACTGTGACAATAAATGGTTAATTTGTCTTTCCCTTCTCCAATCTGGATGTCAAGAACAAGGAAATTTAGCATGACAGTATGACTGTTTTTTGGTAAACTTTGAAAAAAAAGGATACCTTTTTTACATACTTTGGTAATGAAGGTCTTACTAAACAGAATTATGACCCTTGATGCAGCTCAAAAACACTAAATATATGTTGATTTTATTTTTTTTTAATAGTGCTCTACCAAACGGTTGGTTTGTCAGTTCATGGTAAGGGTAAAAAAATTTAACTAATCTAATTAAAAAAGATTAGTACTCATAAAATCAATTTTTTAAAACCCTCTAGTTTATTTCTGTAAATATGACTCATTAAGTGTTAATACATCATGAATATGCTGAAGGAATTTTCTTACTCTTAACTATTGTTGCTTTATAAGTTGATCGTTAATATGAGTAAAATCCAGAAAAATAATATGAATAAATCATATTATACTGAATAACCCTATTAAATTAATACGAGCTGGTGCACTTATATGACTATATTTTGTCAAGTTCATCTGGCATTTTTATTATGACTTGCTCCTGTCCCAACATGTATCCACATGCATCAATGTTGCCCTCAATGAAAAGAAACGCTACTTCTCAGAGTTAAATTGGTGATATTATTTAAAATCATAAAAGAGCCTCAGCTGTCTGTTGTCTTCAGTGACGTATTTACAAGTTTCAGCTTGGTCCAGAACTTACATACATCTTTGTGATTCTGATTGGAGGGGACAGGAGAACATCAGGAATGCAAAAAACCCCATTTGGCGCTAGTACTAAGAGCAAAGCAGCATAACAACTGTGTTTACTTTGAAGGAATTTTAGCAAATTAGCAATTTTGTCAAGTTCTAATTCATTATATAAGCCGTGGATCATATATATATATA